CATGTGAATTCAAGTTATAAAATATTGATTATAATACATGTAAATTCAAGTTATAAAATATACTGATTATAATACATGTAAATTCATGTTATAAAATATACTGATTATAATACACGTAAATTCAAGTTATAAAATATACTGATTATAATACATGTAAATTCAAGTTATAAAATATATTGATTATAATACATGTAAATTCAAGTTATAAAATATATTGATTATAATACATGTAAATTCAAGTTATAAAATATATTGATTATAATACATGTAAATTCAAGTTATAAAATTCTAAGTAACTTGATTTCTCTCCGAAAACCAGCATGTGGAGTTTCTTTATTCTGCTTATAAAATTGGATTTTCAAATACTTATGTTTAATGCAGTACACTTAAATTAATGTTTAACACTTCGCAAACACAGTACCCTCACGTACATGGGTACATTTTTCTGACTTGTAAACGATAATTCTTAGTGATTTCAGCAACTTATCCAGACTGCAATTATCATAATCATATTTTATGTTTTGTTTTTCCACTACTACCAACACCATAACTGTCTTAATTTGTGGTTGCACGTGTAGTAAAATTTGGCCGAATACCAGGTCCGGGTACCTGGTCACTAAACTTTGGTGTCAACTGAGACCTGGTTCTCCCCTTGCCCCTGCCCCTCAAAATAACAACATATATACAGAAATTAGAAACAAAAACAAAATTGATATTTATTACATTTAACTGAATAATCACCAACAGAACATTCAAGTTTTACTTTCAATGCCTAGCCCCAACTTTTTAAACCCTAACCCCTATTGTTCTCAAATCTCCCAGCTTCCCCAGAAATCCACTTCTCAAGCCATGCCTGTTATTAACCCATATTGTTCTCCGAATCCCCAACTTTCAGCGGGTGGTCAGTCTTTGTTGCTCAGAACACGTTTTTGTTTTTTTTAACTAAACCAATTGTTGACTGTAACTTTCAGTACCGCATAAGTTGCCACAAAGATTAAAGCTTGGATGCCATTTTCAAATACCCGGATTTGGGAAGGTGGCTGTTTTTAACTTCAACCCTCAGCCGGAGCTTAGTATTACTGGAAAGTTCAGTACACAGCCGGGGCCAAGTATCTGGTTGGGTACCTACGCATCCCTATTCTTAATATTTCAAGGACTCCGTTACATAAAGCACTGATTAATGTACTACTGTACATGATCTGTGTTTGCATATTCAACAAGTATAGGATGCTACTCTGTTTAGGTTCATTTAAAGTTTTTCCGAGGACATACTTGCAGTAACCTGATGACGAGTCTGATAACGGATGTAATTTGAAAATGCATACGACTTATCGTCTGAAAATATTTGTACACAAATTACAAATGTTAAGTTTACTTTTCTGACATCAACTAGGCAGTCTTTACAACTAAACAATGCATTACTGTTAGTATGTGTAGTTACAGTCATATCCAGCTCAGTTTATATATATATGGGTAAAGATTTTACATCTAAGACTACCTTGTGTGAGCCCAAAACTACTACTCTGTAACACAAACTTGCAACTGTTCACTAATTAAAAGAAATCCTTTGTTAAATTCCTTCTTAACTAAGTTTAGGAAGTATTTACTAAACTTAAACACTGCTTTCAGCTGTTTTAGTATAAATATTAAATCAAGTGTAAAATTCAACAAATGATAAAGAAAAGCCTTTCGTTTACAGTATACTTGCTACCCTCTAAATCCATGAATGAAAATACATTACCTAGTAGTTAAAAATTGAGAAAAATCTTGATCATACTAGTTTTGACCTTGATCTATGTTACCCTATGAACAAATTCGAAATATTTGTTGACAAAAAATACTTAAAATGCATATTTTCAATCTTGTATAAACATCTGATGCATTTAATACTAATATTTATAGCCTTTAGAATAAAAAAAAATTGCATCATTATTGTTTGTATTTGAGCATCATGATCAACTATTAGTGAAAACTATTTAAAAAAGAAAAAAGACATGCTTCTCTGTGTTTCTATAGTTTCTTTAGTCAAACATTTAACATGGCCAGACTTTTCAACTAAAATTTTTTCAAATGTAAAAATTTAGTTTATTGCTACTATTAAACCATAAAATCTGTACAACTATGAAAGTATTACCTCTAGGAGTTGAGACCATTACATTCTGTGCACGCTGGGGTCCAGCTGTTCCAAAGATGAGAGGTGCAGTCCCTCCTGGAAGTCCTGTTTGGGAATACCCCGCACCATCTAACCTGGGAACACATGATAAAGTGTGGTTAATATCATGACAAACTACTATTTGAATTTTCTAACTAGACATTGAAATGTTTTAGCAAAAGAGATACAGGTGTAAAAAAAACAAAAAAACAGAAGTAAAATGAAATTAGGTTCATAATGTCTCATTCAGATTACAAAGGTTTGCAATTTGAAACTCACAATGCGAAGAGATTTAAGAAGTTCGGCTTGAAACTCACAGTTGTGAAGAGATTTAAGAAGTTCGGCTTGAAACTCAAAGTGTTGTGAAGAGATTTAAGAAGTTCGGCTTGAAACTCACAGTGTTGTGAAGAGATTTAAGAAGTTCGGCTCGAAACTCAAAGTGTTGTGAAGAGATTTAAGAAGTTCAGCTTGAAACTCACAGTGTGAAGGGGATTTAAGAAGTTTGGCTTGCAACTCACAGTGTGGAGAGATTTAAGAAGTTCAGTAAATTAGCTTACAAGATTTTTTTTTTCTCCAGAACTACTTCAAATATATAAAATGACTGGCCAGTTTGATACTGAAAACAAAGGATGGTATATTGGAAGACAAGATAAAAAGGAAAAAAAAAAAAGTGACCACCTATATTAAAAAACAAAACAAAAAAAAAACAAGTCTACATTTCACATTGTAAACTGTTCAGATAAACACAATAATAATAATAATAGTCGGGTTGTCATGACTGGGTTAATTGACTATTCAAAGTATTTCTTTTGAAATGCTCCACTTTATTTAATATATTTCTTCCCACTTCTTGGTTACTTTGTAAATGTCTTAGTTTGCTAACTGTCCAAAGAAGCAGAACCATATTCTTAAAACTTTAAAAATTACATTAGACTTGACATCATCTGTTCTATATCATATTTATATTGCTGGTTTGTTGTTGTTGTTTTTTTTGGGGGGAAAGACTTTTAATTTGAACATATTAAGTTGTTATTTGCATTTACATTTTAGCCATATTGAACCCATATCTGAATTGGGTAATAAGGCTTAACCTACAGGACAATTATGAGCAATTTAAGTTTATGAATCATTTTTTATACCTGGTCCTAACATTTTAAACTTTACAGGTTTGTTTGTTTATTTAATTACGTACAAAGCTACAGGAGGGCTATCTGCGTTAGCCGTCCCTAATTTCGCGGTGCAAGACTAGAGGGAAGGCAGCTAATCTAATCATTACCACACACCACTAACTCTTGGGCTACTCTTTTACTAATGAATAGTTGGATTGACCATCATATTATAATGCCCCCATGACTGAAAGGGTGAGAAATGCAAACTGTGCTATGCCCCACACATGTTGTTCTTCCAACGTTTTCATCTTGTAGTGTACACTTAAGATCCAGACCAAAATTCATGAAACTATCACAGCCTATGTAGAATTAGGCGTTATGAGTGTTTCTCTACATTTCAAGAACACAAAGTAATAATACTCGTATCTTCGTTTGGTTGACAGATAATTAAAAATGTTACTTTTACAGCATCGATTAACTCACCTGGATACACTGGTAGGATGAGGATTTGACGATGGAGAAACAGCAGAATGGCTTCCTACTGTATCCTGAGTTGACAACTGTTAAGAGTATACAATACAAAATGTCATTACATTTGTACTGAGCATCAACATATAAAAACTGCATACTGATTTTAAAAGCATAAAATTTAGTTCTTAGCTTTCAATAAGCTGTCGCTAACATCTTAACACACTAACTGCGGATGACGGAAATATCCGTCAGTCGCACATATATAACTATAACTATGCAAATGACGATAATTACCGTTTTATTGTGATTGATGACAACTCAGTTTTTAATCTGCGAGTCAGAAAACAGCAACTGAGCTGCTCCTACAGCAGTTAAAATCTATAATCTTTGGGCCTAATTAACATAGACTTGAACTTTTCTAATATGTGTTAATTCAATTCACATGATTTAGTTTTTCACGAACGACAGACATACATTAGGTTTTTCAAGGATTGTTTTTCCTTTTTAAATTCAACCACAATATTTTCCCAGCTTAAATAAGTATGCGATATGAAGTATATATTCACTAATACTAATATTCCTTGCATACGGTGGGAAAATTCGAGAACCAAACTAAAACAAGAGCAAATCATTTCAGATCATAGCAATACAGATAAAACACAAGTTCTGAAAAACGGATATGAAAATAGTAAAGCTTGATAATAATTTAAAGATGGTACAAATACAATTCATTTGTCTTACAGCTGTACTTTCCAAAATTAAACAGATGAAATTCAATGATGACGTTAAACATGCCAGTCAAGACAATATAGAAGTAGTTAATCGATATTTACGGAACTGTCATGCCACTAAACATCTTCTGGTGACAGGTACAGAAAATAGAGCACACTGTTTTACAACCACGGATCAATCTGGCATTATTACAATTTAGCCCACGAATACACAGGTCACACAAAGTTAAAAAAAAACTGATAGTTGTTAACTTATCATATTCCTTAATTTCAGCATAACTATAAATTGTATAAATAAATGTAAGAAACTTGTGTAACCACGACATAAAAATACTTACTGCTTGTTCTTTTAATTCGGCTCTCTTTAAAACATGCTCACACTTTAGAAGAGTTTCCATTGGACACCTGTAGTGTTAATGGAAGTTAAACTGTACTGTAGTTCTTTATAAATAAACTTTAAAATAGAGAAAAATATACAGGAAAAAAAAGTGCTAGATATTCAATATACTAAACTTCTTTTTCTATTTGTGAAAGTTAATTATCTTCCACGTAGAAATTTGTGAAAGTTAATTATCTTCCATGTATAATTTGTGAAAGTTAATTATCTTCCATGTATAATTTGTGAAAGTTAATTATCTTCCATGCAGAGTTTGTGAAAGTTAATTATCTTCCATGTATAATTTGTGAAAGTTAATTATCTTCCATGTATAATTTGTGAAAGTTAATTATCTTCCATGTATAATTTGTGAAAGTTAATTATCTTCCATGCAGAACTTGTGAAAGTTAATTATCTTCCATGTATAATTTGTGAAATTTATATATCTTCCATGCAAAAGTTTTTCAACAGTTCTTGCTTTCTTTCCTCAAAAACTAAAACAAATTATCCAACTGCTTGTAAATGACAAAATGTATGTGCGTGTATGTGGGTTTCTTACATTACATACATAAACAATAATTAGTGAATAAAAACGTTCATTAAGAGTACATTATTTTTAACGTGTTTTAAAGTTCTAAAAACTAGTCTCAGGCATAGTAGAAAATTGTTCTAGTTCTATGGATGGGAACACAATGTTCTAGTTATTGTAGTTATATCAGTGAATGCACATAGGTAAGGAATAGATTTATATATATATAGAAAGATATTCCTTGAAGCTCTCGATTTGAATGAGGCAATGTTAAACTAGAAACAATACAGCTTTAACAAGAAATGATATTTTGAAATCTAGCAAAAGTTGAACACTTCAGTGTTAAAAATAAGCTAGAGATAACATATAATACATTCAAATTAATATGTGCTTTTCCTCACAAACCACATTGTTATTGTCCTTCACTGTCAGCATTAGTAATCTACTGTATACAAAACAAAAAGGTAGTTTTCCATGAGTTTTCTCTTTCACTCTGAGCAAATGCACACATACATGGATATTGGGTTGTCCATTTATCTTACTAGCATAGCATAAAATTTAGGAGCAAGGAAATTGTGCGTCCATCTAAACTGTTCCATCAGCTACACTTTAAAAAAAAAAAGCATCCAAAAAACTCAAAGCCAGCCCTTATCATTCAAATATTTATCGAGCCTTCCCCCCCCTCAACTCCCTTAAATTTTCTACATCCATCACATTTGAAGGCAACCAATTCCAACAGTCAACCATGCCATTATAAAATAAAACTGTCTTAGCTAAACATGACTGTTACCCTGTCAAATTTTATATGTATACCCTATTCGTACCATTCTCACCATTAAGTATGAAAAAATATAATGCATTCATACTATCTCAGTCCCCTTAATCGTAAACACACCAATCAGATCCCCTCTAACTCTTCATTTTTCAAGAGAAAACAATTTCAGAGATCTTAACCTCTTCTTGTATGACAACCCCTTTATCCCAGGCACCATTCTAGTAGCCCTCTTCTGAACCCTTTCCAACAATTCAATGTCCTTCCTGAGGTAAGGAACCCAAGAATGAATACAATACTCCAAATATAACCTAACCAGTTAAACTATACAATAAAATGATGACCTCATTAGAATTGTATCCAATATTTCTGCAGATACAGCCTAACATCCTCTTTGCCCTACCACTGGCAACAGCATACTGCCTCGATGGCTTAAGAGACTGATTAACCCTTTTAGAGCAATGCCATTTTTAAATTCATTTCTACGTGCGATACCGAGTTACATTCAAAATTTAATTAAACAACTTTAAAATCCACGTATGCCAACAAAATTAACACTGTAATGTACGTTATAATTTGAATTTTTATGTTATCCAATTTTAATTCCTTTGTTTCAAAAGAAACATTTAAAAAAATACTTAAAATGCCATTTTCTTTGTCACACGATCCATGTGCTATGGAAGATCTCCACTTTAACAGGAGTTGAGTGTAAACACGTAAACTTGCAATGTTTATGAATGTCTAAAAAACAATGTACATATAAGTGGCCTTTTGATACGCAAGATACAAAGTCTCACATCTGTATTCATTGGGAAAGAGAAATAAATTTTCCAACCGTTGACAAGTACCACATCCACCTTCTAAACTTTGCTGTGAAATTTACAATGTACATGTAGTTAGTTGATACAAGTGTATACAGTCATTAGAAAGAGCTCAGTTTACACTATACTCCAACAATGGTTGATTTGAAATATTGTTGTGTGCTTGACTGACTATAGCACTTTTGGTGGTTTGTTACCTAAATATGCTATAGTTAGAGAGACAGTTAAACTGTATTTAGGTCTTACTTTTATATTTTAGTTAATTATGTATTATTTGTGTTTCAAAAATTGTACTTGAACGAATTAATGATTTTTTTATAAGTTTAACCTATCGCCTGGATTGTGAAAGTTTTATAAACAAGAAGGCGTGTACTAGTGCCATTATCTTTCGGCAACACGTCTCTGCAGGGAGTCTGTCAAAATAAGTCCCAGTGGCATCAATTGACATAGCGGCATAAATAAAGACAAGGAATTCGAAATGAAAGTTGAAAATAAACTATAAGTGAAAAAATAAAGATGTGAAATTATGCATATATGTGAAAAAGATGACTATGCTAGTGAATTTCTACGAAGAGTTGAAAGGTACGTACACATTTCTATTCGTTAATTTTAAACATTTCATTTTATGGTATGTTCACGATAGCAGATAGTTATTATTGATATAGCATAGAAAATGGAAAATAAAATATAAAAATTCATCTTAAAAAAACTTTTGATATTCATTTAGGAGGCTCTAGAGATTATGAAGATAATAAATAGTATTTTTTATACACAAAATAAAAATAACTGCATTAAATAAATAATAATTTTTTTTATCAGAAATAGTAGAAAAAAATTTGAATTAAGTATTTTACTTTTAGGAAAGTTCTTTTCAAGCCTCAAAGACTTTCATCCACTAATTTCATGTTTGTAAAGAACTTTCGATGGATTAAAATAACCTACTTACAAAAGTTGTAGGTCGTCGTAAAAAGGGTTAACCAGAACACCAAGTTCTTTTTCTTCCATAATACTATTAATGTAATTATAATTTAAATCACAATTTTCCACATGCATTACCTTCTTGGATCATACATGAGCAGAAAATGAAAGCAATAAAAAGATGCATCTGATGTTGATATATGGTTGTTTCTTTAACATGAAGTTTTCCAGTGCTGGTAGGCTTGCTAAATTTTATCATCAGGAGTGGACTTACAGTAAAGTGATCAGATATTAGTTGTTACTACAGTTAGTAACCTAGAAAATCTCCTGATAACTTATTAATTTACTCATTCAGATGCTGTATTATACACCCAAGTCTAATTACTTGTCACTAATAAGTTATCAGGAGATTTTCTAGGTTACTAACTGTAGTAACAACTAATATCTGATCAATTTACTCATTCACATGCTGTATTATACACCCAACTATTTGCATAATTATAGCAAAAGGCATCATGGCCAGAAAATTTCTGATATTAAGAAGTGCTAAGTTTATTAACGTACTTATTACTATCATTAAAAGCTGGCAGAAAACTAGTTTCTCGTAGGAACTAAAATTACAACTGGATTATACCTTGGGAATATTTCAAATGTGGGGTTTTATGCGAAATGTGCATTTACTTCATACTGAATGGTATGACTTTATGAAACTTGGTTTAAAATCCAGTACATTTTTTATAAAGGTTGAATCTCAGAAAACATTTTATAAAAAAATAAAGATAAAAAGCTAAAGCTTTATGTACACAAGTAGAGTGTGAATGGGTTTAGTTTGTTTGTTTTGAATTTCGCACAAAGCTACAGGAGGGCTATCTGCACTAGCAGTCCCTAATTTAGCAGTGAAAGACTAGAGGGAAGGCAGCTAATCTAATCATCACCACACACCATCAACTTGGGCTACTCTTTTACCAATGAATAGTTGGATTGACCATCATATTATAATGCCCCCACGGCTGAAAGGGCGAGCACGTTTGGTGGGACGGGGTTTCAAACCCATTATTGCGAGTCGAGTGTCCTAACCTCCTGGCCGAACGTGTTTAGTCTTCAAAATTAATAAGTACAGTTCTAAATAATTTTAAAATTGCTGGAAGAGTCAGTACAGGTTAAGGTAGAGAGGAAATGCACAAAGAATTAACCATTTCTCAGACATTTAGATTTTTTTTTCTACACAAGTTGTCTACAAATAAATAAAGTTTTAAGAAATTAAAGTAATCACAGAATTGTTTTTACTTTTAAAATTCATGGGCTTTCTTATGAAACAAAAACATTTAGAGTTATCCAAGATATTTATTAGGGAAAATGTTAAACATATAATACCAACAAAGAAATCTTAAAACAAAGTGTTTCTCAATAATAAACAGGATGCTCAAAACATGCTTACATCAATTTCAGAACTCTTCATTAAAAATATACTTACTACCCAATATCAGAAATCTTCCTTACATTTTAAGGCCATATTTGTTACCCCATGTCTGAATATGTTGATGTCTTAACCTTACATTTTTATGATTTCTTTTATGAAATTTTATTATAAACAAAAAAAAATCTTATCTACTCAAACTGCATCTATGAAAACCCCCCAGTCATTTGCACCAGATCAACATCATTAGATCAACTCCAAAAGATGGCTAAGAAGAGTTTGTAAAATTTTATACTTTTTTTTTTAGAAAGGACAAAAACAATTAGAAATTTTGAGAATTTTTAAAAATGACTGGAATTACTGTATAAAAGGAAACTACCTACTTCAGAGCGTAAAATCTTATCACTCAAACTACAACTTTCTCTCTCGATGTTTTGAAACAACTTACCTCTTGTTTGGATCAGACAAAATAGCAAGAAGGTTTGTCAACTTGATCAGTTCCTTCTTTCGACCTGGTAATACAAAAATAAAAGGGGGGGGAAAAATAGTGATAAAAAACTGCTATTTTTAATGTAAATGTAAAAAAAAAAAGTAAAAACTAAAAAAAATTCAGATATTTACAAGATCTTAAAACTTCTGAACAAATTTAGCAACTAACTTCTAAGAAAAAAACTTAATTAGTTTGTAAGTAAAATTCTCATAATGATTATTTCTCTGCATTTCATTTATTTACGTTAAGATAAACAATTAATACTTTATTTTTATCTAATTGATAACTGATAATAGAAATCACAAAAAACAAGGACTAGGGTGTGCCCACCCTTTCTTAAAAAAAGCAGTGCCTGGGCGGTGTCCTGGCTCAGCTACACTACTGAGTAAATCCCTAAAGGAATGAAATGAAGCTCTGATTAATAGTACAAGAAAGTTTCACATAAATTAACTAAGGCGTGGCTTTCTTCGTAATAATGACCTTGTTACTCAAGTATTCACGATTTATTAAATTACAGAAGCAATCATATTATGCATTGTTTTATATTCCGCTAATCATGAAAATAGCATTAGAGAATCTACACAAGACTTTTGTGAGAATTTCAGCCTCAAAAAAAAAAAATATATATATATATATATAAAAACACCAAACCCTAATACAATTTCTAACAAACCATCTTGGTAAGTTCTCAACTTTAAACATCCATAAAGTTTTTCTAAAGGATGTGGGAAGTGGGTCTTACTTTCATCCTTGTGAATACGAGCAAGCATCCTCCTTAAAGGTTCCTTGTACTTGGCCAGCTGGTTTAACTTCTCCATGTATGCTTGCTCATCTGGTGGGGTCCAATCAGCAGAGCCAGGAGTTGAACCTACAGAGGAGTTTCTCCACATACTATTAGCATTTCAACAACTTAATGCTAGAGTTAGAATGCCAGTTATACTTTCAATCCTCTACTGTCACTGTTCTGTAAATCAATTTCACACAATCGAAAAATATGAACTCGTAACATTAAATATTTAACCAAAGAAAATAGAATACTACTACTACTACTGCTATTATTATAAAAAAAAAAATCAGGATTGTGCTTTCGAATGTTACCGTACAAATCTAGGTCTCTGGTAATGCAGAACTGTAGTAATGTTAAACAGAAATCTCGATAAGTTAAATTTTCAGCCAAACGATTTTAATAAACCTTTTTAAATCACAGTAAAAGTGTTAATGCCCAGTGATTAACTGATGGATTAATTGGTGATCAACATGGTGGTGTCAATTAGTGATGTATTTCAGGAAAACTGAATCGTGTACACGTAGTACAATATGTTCTGATAATACCAAAAAAGGCAATTCTGCACTAGACTTTCATTTTAACTTGTCAAAAATCTGTTCTTATTCTGAAACTACAAACTACCTTCACAACTAAAATAATGTATATATATATATCATTTAACTTTTTGCTATCAAACTAAAGAAAAACTTGATATAAAATTTAAAATGTGAAATAAGCTGGGCAACATCTGACTTGAAGTACACCGAAGTTGTGTTTGCAATTATCATAAAAATTGAAAAATATACACCACAAAAAAAATTAATTCATTTATTGCCTGGGCAATATCTAGCTGAAATAAATGATTTGTTTGTTTTGCTTAATTTGGTGAAAAACTATCTGTGCTAGCCATTCCTAACTTAGAAGTGATAGATTAGAAAGAAGGCACCACCAACTCTTGACCTACTCTAATAGAATAGTGTGATTGACCACAATGTTATAACATCCCCACTGTAGAATGCAAGTTGAGTGCTCTAACTATCAGGAAATGCCAGCCCCAAAATAAATGAATGAAATATTTTGTTTTCGATAACTTTTTGTTTGTTTGTATCAGTGTGTGTGTGTGTGTGCATGCACATGCATAAATATGCACGCACACACAAACAACACCTACATGTTTTATTTGTGTATATGCTCATACATTTATTTTTTTATTATTATTATTATTGCCATTATGTAATTATTTTTTTCATTTGTCACCATTAATTTCTGTATTTTATTTTTAGACACCAGAGGGCTAGCTATCTTTCAAACTATAGAACCTGAACATTTTAAATGCAAAACACCCTACTTAGCCATTATTATCTACTTACCCATTACTATCATTATCAACATTTTAAAAATATTATATTAAAATAATATTGATTTCCCACTAAACCTTTAATTACAGTGAAGTTTGAAATCACCAGGGGGATTGGCATTCTGGCTTCAAATGTGTTGAACATTCAAAAACACCTGTTTATCATTTATTATTTTTATAATACAAGCTTTTTCACCATTTCTTTTAATTTTAGTTTAAGTGTATCACAACAATCTTTGGATGAGTTATCATAATTAAGTAGATTACAAAGAACACCTGGTTGACATTATCCAGTAATTGGAGAATGAGTAATAAATAAATAGGTCAGCTGAAAGTGCAAGACATGATTGTTTTTGTCTGCATTAACAAGGGGAAATTTAGGCCAAATATACGTGGTTCCAGTTACTCAACCTTATCCTACCAAAAAACCTGATCACCTTGCATCTTTTTTTAAGGTAAAAAAAAAAGACTATATTGTAGTATTTAATTTTTAGTATGCAAAAAAAAAACATCAGGTTTCACCACTTGGTTGTTAATATATAGATAATTTTTGTTTAATAAAAAAATGTAGAAATTTTGAGCTCTGATTGGCCAATCTTCCTGCCAGCAGCAGTGAAGGATTGACAAACATTTAAGTTTTTGGTATTCCCTGGCAAAATGGACTGATGTCAGTAAATACATATTTAAGCACACAGTGTAATTTCTCATGGTTGCTATTTATGTGTACACCAAGTATAGATGGAATATTATACAGTGCACTGAGCTGTATAAATGAATATACTTATAATCTTAATGAAACTTTATCAAAGTACATCATTTCTGAAATAAAGCAATGATCCAATTAATGTTCTACTTCAAATAAAAAATGGAATAATTAAGAAAATAAAAACCCTTGTACTAAGACACTGCTTCAAATGTATGCAGTGTTTCAAATAAACACTCTGACTTTGTAGAAATATACCTCATACAAATGTCATAAACTGAAGAGTACAAGTTTTGAAGGTATTTCGTAACAAACAGCCATAAAAACAATTATGGGAAAATACTAAACAAATTCTGTATCTACCTAGACTTTACTTTTAAAGTGAAATAGGAATCACACATATCTAGCTGGCCTTAGTGTTCAATAACTCATTCAGGGTTCTTCCTATTAATGCAAAGAAGCCAACCAACTTTTAAATGTATTCTTCTTCACTGTAAATATATTATTCATCTGTCGTTAAGAATTAGGTCAAGGACAAAATGAAGCTTGCTAAACCAGAGGCCCCTCCCTTACAGATGTATCTATCTATTTTTGTGTACTTTCCAATTTTGTTTGCTTAACAAAAAACTTGATTTCTTACAGTATTTTACAAAAAAACAACAACAACAACAAAAACATTATCAGTTACTCAGTCACAAAAACTAATTAAACCTTTCTTACAAATACTAAAACAAAATTGTGCATTATAGAACAAAAATCTCATACAGAAATGCGTAAAAACATTTTCCAACAATTAAACACTTTAATAAATAGAAACATTGAACAACAACAATTACAAGGATACTGAAGTCAGGCCTGTTGGCAACACCCCCAGACAACTGTATATACATTTGTTTCAAAACAAGTCTCACCAGACCTGTTCCGTCTTCAATAAATTTCAACCAATGACGTGGATGAAAATGAGAGTTACTCAACAAAGTTGTAAGCCATATTTCTTGTTTAAAAACTTGTAATAAAGTGAGTGGACAGTTTATACACATCTGAAATTATACTGCACATAATTGCATAGGAATAATTGCAATGGAGAATTACGTAATGTATTCTGATAATGCCTTCCATTCATGTCTTACAAACTATGAAAAAGGGGTGGTTACGAAATAGCACTGCAACAGTCTACATGTAATTCTACAACAGTATCAAGATGGAATTGAAGTTACAGAAGACTTAATGGGGAATAAACAGCTAATTTATTAGAATCTAATCCACTAAGTATTAAAAAAACAAAAACACACCCATTACAATTATTAGTAAAATTATCAAACTTTTTTCAGTTACAAGACATTTTTTGAATCAGCGTTACTGTACCAGATATACAGGGTTAGACATAACTATGTATCCAATGAAACATTTTTAGTTTCAAAAAGCAACAAAATCAAATGAGCATTTACACTGTACCTTGTAGCATGATTAACAAATGTGTACAACTCAGTAACTCGTGCCTCATGTCTCTAAGGCCACGAAACTCTGTGCTCATCTCCCACAAGTAGCAAAGAATATTAATTATTTATTATTTTCTTATTGCACAGTTGCACTGCATTAGCTACACAACAGTAAAAACCTGTATATTTATCACTATACCTGTTATATTATGAGAGCTACCAGGAGAGGCCACCCCGACTGTCCCCGGAGATCTTCGAATCATACTGCTGACAGCAGATGAGGCTATGTTTGGACCAAGACCTGTAGTTGATGTTACTGACTGAAAACTAATGAAAAAAGTTATCTATCTTAGTTAGAAAAATCCATCACTAATTGAATATATATATATATATATATAAAAAGTGCATGTGTATGGGGTATAGCCACGTGATCAACTCAATTACCTATAAGTATTCCATAGAGTTGTGTCATGTAAAATAAACGTTTAATCGAAATTACAATTAACTCGATTAATATCACAACTACCTGAAACCGTTTGATTGTTCCAACCATCCAAATAATTGAAATATTTGCCATTATGATTTGTCCTGATTATTTTTAATTAAATGAAGGTTGTTCAGCTTGATAGATAAGATTCATAATTCATAAAAAAATAATCAACTAATCATAACTAGTGTTTCAGATTATTGCTATTTTCAGTTAATCCAAGTCTCATACAAGACTAATTCACTAGTTGAATGATTAATCAATTATCAAATTTCACTCATTGCCCAGCTCTAACATGGGATATGTTTTAAATGTTTAATAGACTCTTGTCTACTTGGTATGCACTGGTAGAACATTACAGCTGACTAGTAGAGATCAGATTATTGTCCACTCATTCACCCCATGTAGATGCAGCCCATAAAAACTACCAAAGCTCTTTCAAAACAAAATATAACACAGTGAAACAGTTTACGCTACTACAGTTCAGGTTAAGCGTATTCGCCGAGTCGTATTTACAGCAACATCTATAAAAAGTACTCAATCTTAGAACTAAAACAGATTTCAAAAGGGCACATCTGTTTAGTAAATTTTTTTTAATATAAAATATAAATGGGAAGATTTACAGGGTGGGAAGTGATGGAAGAGCCACCTGGTGCATAGTTGAATCCTATTTTTAATGAACAATTTTCAAATGCAACACTACTTGCAAATGAATATACAGCTAATTTTGTAAGACATCTTCTGTTTGGACCATTCATCCATTACTTATACTACCTGGAAGTGAAGCAACTTTCAACGTATCTCAAATTTCATCCATCTGATTTATTTAATGAGTAGTGTAACTACAGAGTTATTTATAACAAGAATATTGATATCATTCAAAAGTTTTGTTTCATGAAATCTCCAAGTGAACTTTCTGTAACAGTTAACATGTTTCACAACAGTTTATAATCTTCTTTATTTCATTTTTGAAAGTAAATATTACATCACCAGAATATGAGAACATCAAGTAGTAATTGGACCTCACAAAACTGCTGGTTGATATATATATATATATATATATATACACATACATACATACACACACACACACACATACATATCTCAGGCACTGGTTTCAGTATCAAATTACACAAACAAAAAATTTTATAGAAATTTAAAAAACTAGTCATGCAGATATTAAAAAGATAAGTTATATGTAAATTATTCATGCTATTTGATATCACATGATGTTGTCATCACAGTAAAAGTCATAAGAGCAATTTCATTTTTATAGTAAATTATTACTGGCTAACTTAAAACTGAATGTCAGAGAAATCAGTATAATGTGTGTGTGTATAATGAAATCAAAAGTCAGTCAATAAATGTATTCTCAAAATGAAAGATTATTAAAGTAGGTGGCACTCAAGGTGAGCTTTAGATAGTTTGCTGTCTTAGGCAAGATTTTAAAATGCTTTCTCCATCAGTACATCCAGTGCTTCAAGTGGAGGACATGATGAAGCATGGTGGTTTGTGAAAATTTTGAAGCCGAGTACAATATTTCTTGTTTTTCACATGTATTCTTTATTTATCATTATAAAATACAATGGCATCCTGCCTCATTATAAACACTGAGAACATCATTACCAATGGCTAACATGTAAATAACACAGTATGAATAAAAAAAAATGTGATGCTTTAATGTTTAGTTTTTTTAACACATTCCAACACTGAAAATGTATTTCCAATAGATAATCACCTCCATCACATATAGATTTCTCCATTCAGTGCTGCCTATATAGATGAACTTTTTTGCTCACCACTAGCCTTGAGTAAACTCTTGATGTTGCTGTATTGTTGCATACAAATGAGCATGCAACCATCCTCCACCAATAAGAATGCAGCAAAGTTTCCTATTGCAGCTGATTCCCTCTATACCAATTGTGCAATCATTACTTCAAGATTTGGCAATAAAATAAAATTTAACAGAAGTGGGGAGGAAGTGTGAACGGAGGCAATTTTCTATCAGTTACACATTTTCAGTGTTGGAAAATGTTAACTTCCAATATGATACATAACCTCTTCTCAAATATAGCTAGAATCCCGCGTTGAAATGGTAAGGGACTAGTGCAAAATAGAATGATGATAAAACTTTTTGGAAACAGACATTTGTTACTATGTCAAACTTATTAGTCACAAAGTGGGTTCCTCATAATCAAACGTGGTCTTAATGTGTGGATTTAAAACTAAGTTATATGTATAACTGGGATTATAGATTCTAACATACTGAACTATGACAGAGTATATTTAGGCAGTTTGTTATACGAGACTGTCTTCATTACGATATCTTACTTTCAAACTATAGTAATGATCCATTTAATTGATCAGAAACTTAATAAATGGCACTCAAATGTTTTTTACAATATGTTTTGTTGTGAAATGTTAACTTGTTTTATCTTTATTTTTACCCAGCACGTACACAAATAAATTAAAAATGTATGTAGAAAAACAAATATGTAATAGACAAAATGCTTAACATTAAACACACACACATGTACAGTGCAAAGTAAATAATAATAGAAATACTTGCCTTGCATATTTAAAAAAACAAAACAAATCAACAACTACATAGAGAAAATGAGCTATGTTGGTTGAAAAACTATCAATGATAATTTGAATGATACGAAGAGCACAAGCATTAATACTGAAGCCATTCTGCTACCCAACCCCATAAATTGTATTAAGGTAACAACTGCTAAAAGAAGGGATATCTGAATGCTGAAGTAATTCTTAGTAAAACACAAGATTTGAGAAAATATCTAAGTGCTTTCTGTTTGGAACAGATAATTCGGAGAGATATCTTTAATTGTCTGAAGGGATAGATTTGGCTGGCAGTATGGTCATAATTTCTTACAATTAACTTCCACTTATCAAAAATTTCCAAGTGTGTGTGTGTGGGGGGGGTCTTTAATTTTCTTTATCTGCAACATGAATTACCTAATTAACCATACCTTATCATACCTACTGTAAATATGAAATTAACATATCCAAATGAAAATGGTCAGCCAGCACAGTTATTATCCATACCACCATTCATCTTACATTAACAATATCCAAACTTCATTAAAAAATAGCCTAACTTCAAACAGAACAACACCTGGAGATGAAAAACCAGGCATTCGTATTATATCATGTCACTCGTGTGAAAAAGGTTATATGGGTAAAACCAAATGAATTGTTGACACAATAAATTTTGAACACGAAAGATACTAAATTTGGAAACATAAGCAGTGCCATTTTTCTTCATATGAAAGATTCTGACCATCAAATCAATTGGACATAAAGATACATTTTATACAAAATAATATAACTACATAAAAAAAAAAAAAAGAATCATCAAAGACTGTTTAATTTCAACACCTTCCAAGATCACCAAGATAGATTCCTGACCTCCCGTGTCGTTAATGGATTTCAAAGTTCCCAGATCATGTGTGCATTGTTGACCAGTTTTCCTCCCAGGAAATAACACAAGACTGATGAGTACACATGAATGTGTCAGAATTAGCTTCTCTCTAACATCAAGACTTCTAAGAGTTCATTCCACTCAATATGGTTTTTTAATAACCACTCAATTCATATGACCACACTACATACGTTATTATATAAATTTGCAGAAATTGTTGGGATTGTGACGATATAACATCTATTAAATCAGTACAGTATGTACACATATAATACCTTCAAGAAATTGGAATACCTAAATGCACTGACCTTTAATACTTCTAACCTCTAAAGTGCAAATGATAAAAGTTCCTCATGAGTCAAGCGTTTTTTTAAACAAGCAACAGATATTGCAAGGGGAAAGGAATGTCTAAATATAGTCAATTTGGAAGAGCTATATACACGTAGCAGGCCTCGAGAAATACTGGGCACTAGGTTGCCATGGCAACTAAAAATTACATCACGGTGCCTAGCATTATCTCTCATTATACTTGTGCGTAGGGATGTGCTAAATAGAACTCGATTCTACAACAGTTCTGGACTCTTGGAAGTCTGGAGATATTTTTGCATATTTAAGTCCTAAATCAAACTTTGTTTTTAGGATTTTAATGGCTGATTCAACACTTCCCAAGCACTGCAGTTGTACAAAACGTTAATAATTTCGCACCATTTTATTTTTCTTCCATCTTTCAATTTAACCAATCAGGGCACGTGTTTAGAATCAGACGGGACCAAAGGCAGTTAGTTCAGGCAATATTATCAAGTGGTTGTTGATATTATGTGATCGTTAGCATGCACTCGGTGCTGTAAAAGTAGATAACTATAGCCCACATTTCCCGGTACAAACAGCAGTGAAGTTAGGCTAGGCACACCAAAAGGGCTTTGCTTATTGTTGTACAGTGTTGTAGCGATGAGTATATTACTTATTCTGAAACAACCTGCTTGGCCTATCGATATGGCAGTGATTTGTTTTTATTTCATTCATCGCAAGGATCCACTTAAGCTATAGTTATTTAGTCTACTATTTTAATAATTACACATAATGAAGTTTAACTTGAATAAATATTATACAATAAAGTTTAATAATGAACCCATTGTTTTTTTCAGTGTAAAACTGTATGTCTCGTACCGTAGCCACACAACCCGACTCAAAATATATTCCATAACTTTTGTATATCAGACCTGGCTCCTAGATCTGAATATATTTATCAGGGCCTGACATAAAGTAATCATCAGATGACATCTTGCAACAAAAAAGATTGTTCTTTTATGTTTTGTAATATACTTTGTAAATTACTATGAATATTAAATAATGCATTAATTTTTTTTTCAATGTAGCTGGTGTGTAAAAATGTAATGT